TCTTACCTTTCTTTAAGTAGGCTACTAAAGGCCTTAATTAATTCCAAAAATCTATCTCAAAAGATAATTCTTTCATTCACTGTTAGTTACTATTATTACATGACAAATTACACCAAACCGTAGTGACTTAAACCAACATTAATTAGCTCACAGTGTCTGGTGGATCAGGAATCTGGCTGTGGCTTAGCTGGGGGCTCAGCGTCTCTCAGGAAGCATTCTCTCAGGTGAAGCATGTGTGTTGATAGGGGCTGCAGCCATCTTAAGGCCCCACTGGGAAAGCACCCACCTCTAAGCTCGCTCATGTGGTTACAGACAGGACTCAATTCTTCCTGAGCTGTTGGACTGGGGGTCTCAGTTCCTCACCGGCTGTTAGCCAGCGCGCCCCCCCTTAGTTCTTTGCTAAGTGCCTCTCCACAAGGCAGCTCATGTATGGCAGTTTGCTTCAACAGAGCAAGTAAATGAGAAGAGACAGAGAAAGTACATGTAAGATGGAGTCACAGATTTTTATAACCTGATCTCAGAAGTGATAGTTCATCGCTTTTCTGTATTCTGTTTCTTAGAAGCATGTCATTAGGTCCAGCCCACACACAAATGGAAGGAATTACAGATGGGTGTGTTGATCAAGAGGTGGGATGATTGGGGGTTATTTGGGAACACTCTATCCCCAGATATCATCCCCTAGATATCTTGGTAACATGTGGCTCTTTATAGTCAGTTTATAGCATTCATGTACCTCATAATGCTTGCTTAATTGCTATCATTCTTTAGTCATTATGTCTCATGTTGTCATATCCAAGAGAGAAATAATAATGGCTGTTAGCTCACTTTGTACAACTTTTATCAAAAATTTGTCAATTTTATTAAAGGAGGAAGATGCTGCTTTCTTCTCTTGTCACTATAAATATAAGCGTTGAAAAACATAACTGGGAAGGACAGATGCTTACATACTGCATCAAAATAAAGTTCAGCTAAGGTGGAATGGAAATCCCAGGGGATGGTATATTGGTTAATGTCCTTAGTTCCAAACAACAGAATCCATTCTGAACAATCTAAGCAGAAAAAAATTCTTTATTAAAGGTTGTTTCCAGATGACCAGAGAGTCAGATTTCAAAGATGCATAAACAGGTTCAATAGTCAGCCACAGTATAGAGGCTTCTCTCATGAAAACAGCACTGCTACATCTATGAAAATTTTGTCTGGACACCAGAAGCTCTGCCCCTGCAGACCTTGAAGAAATGTATATCTCCAGAAACACTTGTTGGAAGATCAATATTCTTATCCACTGTTTCACTCTTGAATCTATGCATCACCTGGTACGTTTGATTGGTAGACTCTAGGTTATGTGCTACGAAGGAGGCTGAGGATATATGTTTTCTGGTTTATTCCTTTGGAAGGTGGGACTCATAACATGCAAAATATCCAATACATAAGGACATTATATTTCAAAGATGTTGGACAGCTTCAAATGAGGAATGTAATTCCTATCAAGTGAAACAGGGAGTGGTAAAACTGCTTCATATTTGCCTCTCACCATGCTAACACATGTGCATGTGTATATGTCATTACTTTGGTGTTCTGCAATCTTAAGGATGACTTTCTTACCTGATTGCTAGTGCTAAACTCTCTCAGTCTAAGGTAACTTCATACCATAGAACCTTTTCCCCATTTCCTTTATTCTTTAATGGGAGCTGTCTTTTATTAGTATCTTTTGAGATTGAAACCTTATGAGTTTGTCTTTGGGAAGCAGTTCTGCTAAAATCAGATAAAAGAAGGAGTGAAAGTGTACTTGTTCTTTGAGCCACCTCACCATATAAATAATATTTTAAGTAGCCAAAGTGCTCCCAGAAATCACATAAATAAGGGAAACTACGTGCGAATTACAGTGGAACATTTCTACCCTGGCTATGAAAAAGGATCATTAAAACTCGGACTCTAGTGTATTCCTTTTGGCTTTCTAGATTTAGAATCCGGTTCTTGGTCCTTGCAGAGCTGATGGACTTAGGTGCAGCAGATTACAAAGGTACTTCCTCTCCTAGCTCAGCTACTATAAGCGAGAGGATCAGAGGGACCTCTTTGTAGGACTTTTAAGCATTGTGTCACAGATCAAATGCATACGCACTTCCCCATTTTTTCTTTTCCTTTTCCTTTGCAGAGGTAGATGAGGGCCTGTTAAACATCATTCAGTATGTCTTGAGCGCTACAGAATTTCCACTGGGATGTTAAATTCTTCATCCAAGCACATTTTCTTCACTGGGTTTTTTCTCCCCTTCACTTTCATGATGAGCTAGGGAAAAGCCTGCTAATCATCTCTCACAGCCCTTAAATTTTCCAAAGTAGTATATCAAATATATCATTTTCTAAGCAGACACTTTTCTAAGAAAGGAATGATTTAACCATAGAATAATTGTATTACATGAAAGATTTTACTGTGTTCTTAATACAAGAAAAATGGCTCTGCCATGACTACAGAGTCCAAATATGGATAGGAATGCTGGGAAGAGAAACAGTAATTCACTGAGATATCACATTATCAGGTGTTCTCTTTCCAGTAGAATTTTCCAAGGTGGACATAGCTAAATCTACTATGACTCATAAAAGAGCAATAGAAGCAATTACAGTTGAGGGCAAACAGTTCAGGCATAGAGATTGAAGAGGGAAAAGATAATCTGTAGAGAGAATTTAGGGAGCAGAAGAAATAATTTATCATTGTCGGCAGACTCTGCCCTACCACATTAACTGTAGTGACGGCAGCTGATCTCACTGCTCTGTCTGCACCCTTTCACCTCCATTCAGTATTTGTTTCTTTGAGTTCTCAACTCAGCTGATCTCTGAGCACTCTGGATCTCTCCTGAAAGGAAAACAGATGCAATCTGCTTTTGTGCGACTTAATTTAATTTGTTGGAACTGTGGTAGGATTCCCAAAGAAAGACATGGAAAGAAATGGTTCAGAAGTGGTGATACTTCAACTACTACAGCAAATAGGTGGCTAAGTTATCTTGGTACAGTAGCTATTTTCTAACATATACCTTCAATCACACCTCCTAGAATGGCATGTTCTATAATATGGGTACAGTGAGCCATATTTTGGTAGAAGGGATCACAGAATAATGTTGTCAGGAACCGTTTAGTTAGGAAACCAGAAGAAATGCTTGATCCTAAGACATTTAGTTTCCTGATGGAATGTTGTTGATGGTGATGATGGTGGAGGTGTTGTTCCCTGCTGACTAGCTTGATCAACTGGTAATTGGACAGTGAATATTGGTAACATGATCCCATATCTTTTGCTATATAATATTTTTCATTTCTAGTTAATGTAAATATTTCTTCATGGGGAGAGAAAACTTGTTGAATTGAAAAACCAAAATTTTTTGTGTGTATGTGACCAGTATGAACACATAGATTTAAATATTCCATTCTTTAAAAAATCCAATTTTTTTTGGAGGACTTTGAACAGTCAAGTGTGAGGTTGTTTGGCTGCAGTAGGAATTATATATGCATTTCAGTATTGTAGTGATACAACTTTCTCTCTTAAGTGTTGTTCTACTGTGTTTCAGTTTTACTGCAGTTTTTCATTATTTGGACCAGTTGAGGGGGCCCAAACTCAGAAGAAATGAGTTAGTAAAATTGAGAAATGTCCTCATCTTTCTGGAAAGAAGTTCTTGTGAATATTTTTAAGTTATGACAGGATTAGGAAAAGTAAAATCATTATCTAAATATGGTAAGTTTTAAAAGAAAATTATATGTTGGTGAAATATTTTTCATACATTAAATGCTAATAGCTTAAATGAAGTTGATTTCAATCAACTTTATGCTGATTTAAAGTTAGTTAAATGAAAATGCTATAGTTAAATGAAGATCATTAAATAGTTGAATTAGGCTGTATTTGGTCGTTGAGGGGTAGATTTATTATCTACTGTCAACTAGTATTCAAATGACCCTATCTTATGTGGACCATCTTCAACATATGAGAATGGAGTAGGGGACATCTAGCCAACAATTTTGGTTCTACTGTTAGCAATGATCAAAATCAACTTGCCATCATAGGGTTCATCAGCCCTACTTTTTAAATGTTGATTTTTTTTTATTTGTTGTTTTTGTTGAATGCTGATTATGGTCAAACTTCAAAGGAGGTGATTATTATACACGTAACAGCTGATCACATCTGTGTTTTCCAGTTGAGACAACCTATGAAGTTGCTAATACCTTCTGATTTCTGGCTGGCTTATTAAACTAGAGACCAGAAAAAGCCTTTCCTGGTGAACTTTGGTGGTTTCTTCTCTTGTCACAAGTTGAGAAAGGAAGTGCTGAAGCCCATGGAAAACTGGAGAAAAACAAAATAATGATTCCCCTGAATTTTTGAAACATTTGCAAATATTTATTTTGTGTCAAGTTTTGGTTATTGGGCAGGCTATTTATATAGACCCAACTTTCTTAAATATATTTCCCTGAACATAAGAAAAAAATTGCAAGCCATAAGTCTCTTTAACTTGTAATTTTATTAATGTTAGATCAATTAAAAACATCAGTATGGGTGCACAATATTCATATGAGGAATTTTGACTGGAAATTCAGGGTAATAGTCTAAATGTGAACAAAGCAGTTTGCAGAAATAATCAGCTTAAAAAAATAATGGCAAGTAGTGATAATGGCACCTAAACATTTTGGCATTTGAGCATTTATAACCATTCATATTAAGCCCATATGTTTCTTTTTTTGTTTTGTTTTATTTTGAACTGGCATGATATTTGAGATAGTCAAAAGAAAAAGATCAATATATTTTTTCCAGTTCCACACTTCTGCCCAGTGTTCTTAATTGAATTGATCTCTTGCTTCATTTTCAGAGGATGTTTCTTGGACACTGTATTTATTATTAAAGCTGAATGGAGAAATGGAAAACCTTAGACATCATTGTAGTTGCAACCAGAGGCTTCAGTGGGTATTCCATTTCATATGTCACATTCATTTTCAACTTGGATCATTTCTTAAGTATAATATGAATAACTCAGATGAGTTTCCTATTCTATTTAGGAATAAAAGATTTCCCTTTGAAGTTTTACTATAGCTTGTCTGATCTGGAGAATGGTCTGCTCATCTAAGGCTCAGACTTTTCCTATTCAAATTGTCTTTAAGACACTAGACAAACCCATAGGACAGAGTGGCTTGAAGCAAAGGAAAAAAATTTCTGCTGAAAAGTGGCTCTAAGTGGAATCAGAGAGGGACAAAGAGGTCAAGGGAAGCACAAGTGCTACTTGAAGAAAGGAGTGACCCTTTGAGGGTAGCTTGGGCACTTGTTGAGACTCCAGACACACTGCAATCAGAAAACCAACATTAGCACAGACAGGATGCATGAGTCAAGGATATCTAAAGGACATGGAAAACGTGGCATCCAGGCATTTGCAACTTCCCAATTGCTGGGCTCCACTTGCGGTCCATGCTGCTGGTTGGAGCATACTGGAAAGGAAACATAAACAGTTTAAATTGAGTATCAGAGCTAACAACTCTCACGTGACTTTCCAAAAAGATGAGTGATGAAACTATCAGAACCATTGGAAGCCTTAAATCTGCTGGGTCAGGGGACAGGAGAGGAATTCTTGGCACAAATGAACAGAGAGCACAGGGACTCTGCCATATATGGATCTTTCAGAAAAAATTCCTATGATCTCAAAACTTGTGCAACTCAGACAGCTGTATTGAATTCCATTCAGTGCCAAAGTAGTACCTTAAGCCAGTTTATCTGGTTTGACTTTGAAGTGGCAATAAAAACCAGGAAGCCTCCTGACCGGGGTCATTTCTAAAAAGAGTTGTTTTCTTTTAGCTTTTCCCATTTTAAGAGCAGGTATGTGTGTGAAAGACTGTGGTAAAGAAGACATTTGCTAACACAGGAAATGTGAAAGTAGTCCAGTAATCATCCAAATTTATCATAGGTTTGGGCTTTAAGCAATCACAGTATTAAGAGTATTAAGGACATAATGGTGTGAAGCAAACAACAATTGCAATCAGAAGTGACATATTAGTACCAACATGTTTAGAGAAACCTCATTGGTTTTATTATTTGGTGACCTGTTCCATGCAAATGACATGTGGGAATTACAAACTTTATTCATGTAGAAGGAGAGTGAAGAGTGTGTGCAATGTCCCATTTTGAAAGCAGATATCTGTCAGCAATTTGGCAAGTAGCTTTTCTATTTGGGCACATCCTATTCCGACTAGTCCTTTGGGGAAACCTAAAGCAACATACTTACCTACTGCTGAAGTTCAAAGAGAGGCACCATTTCTGAGATGGTCCCAAACTGGTATTGAAAGAATTATTTCACAGTAGTAGTTTTGGTAAAATGTAATAGCCATCACTTGCCTTTGTAACGAACAACATTTCACGTCATATTTTATAGGGATGTTTTTTCAGATTATTTTATTTATGCTAAAAGAATCTTGGCCAGTCTATTACTCATTCTAAATCATGGGCAAAAGAATAAGTGATATTAAAATCAAGTTGGCTTCTAGGTTTTTTTCAGCAGCTTTATGAAAAAAATCACAAAGTCATAAATCAAATCAATTAATTAAAATAATTTCTTTGTATTTAACTGAGAAATCCCATGCCCCAGGATTTCCAGGGCCTTGTTCCACATGGTCCACTTGACCTAGACAAGGAAGTCCTATGCACATGCAAACCAGACCTGTGCTGACCTTGATCCCATTTTTTTCAGGAGTCTTTTATAAAATAACCTGATAATATGTACTATGCTGTTTAAAGTCAAATTCTTCTTTTTTAAATGGGAATCTTAGAAAGCTTTAACTGAAGACAAGATTAGATTTGGAGCATTTCTGGTGCCTTGCCAGTTGGTGGAGCCTGTTTTACTGGATAACAGGGCTCTGTAATGCACCTCAACTCACTGGACAAAGTCGATCTTGTTCTCTAAGAGAAGAGCCCATTGTTTTTACTTACTTGCCTTTCTAATCATAAAAAATGGAAAACTGGTTATAATTTATTTCATTAAGTTTTGCATTAATCTCATCAACAATTGCTAATGTTTCCCTTTATCCACTTCTTCCTAACTCTCATATTAATAGACTAAATAATATAAGCATTTTCCTACAAAATTACTTTCAATATTTCACCTCATACACATATTTCTTATAAAATCACACCAAAAGATGTTAAATAATCAACATAGTATATTAAATTTCTTTTAGATGACTATCTGATTTTCATTAGGGTGGCTCTAATTTCTTTTAGGTTCTGGGGATGAGAGCCATTTACTATCTTTGTGGCTTTAAGCATAGCTCTGCCTAATGACAGACAGACAGATGTAGGGCTTGGATGCTGTCTTTCTCTGCATATATGTAGAGAATCTCTGCTGACCTAGAAATAAGGTAGTTGTTGCCTATAGAATCTGTGAGAGATTCCCACAGAAGGTATTCAATAAGAAAGTTGAAAAAAAAAATCCTCTACTCAGAAGGTATTTACTACAATAAGAATCAAATTGCCAAAGATTTTATCTTCTAAGCTATGATTTTTTTTTTCTTTTTCCTTGAAACATTATAGGAGAGGCAAGTGGCAGCTGCAGGCATTGTTGACTTGAGCTGTTCAAGTCCTCTAGATTGTTCTCACATGCAGGTGGAGACCTCATGGCCACCAGCAGCCACAGCGCATGGAAACATGTTGCAGGTTGTTCATTTTTAAACATCATTTTGATTCTGGCCCTCAGTGTCATTGAGCAGAGAGGGTTTCTTTCCATGTAAGTACTAGGTTTATTTTTTTGGAGCAAATTAGAATTCACTGCAGAAGGAAATACTGTGGGAGACTGGAGTGTAATATGTTGGCAGAGAGCGCATGAGAAACTTTCTCCATGGGTATTTTTGGTCCCACGGGAGAGGAATACCAAGAATGTGGTGCCTCCGTCTTTTCTCACAAAACTTGAGGCTTAAAATTCACACACCCAGTAGATAAGAGTCTACCAAGAGCCTGGTGCTTATGAATGCTTTGCCAAGTCCTAGGAAGCATTTCCACCTTTTGCTGGGTCTCTATCTTCGGCTGGGCTGATGTATGTGCAGTATAACTCTTGTTTGCTTATTAAGAAGAGGAAACAATGAAAATGATGGGAGAGAAAGTCAATGAAAAGCACATCCTGTTTTGCAAATTTTACAAAACAACTTAGGTAAAAATGTCAATATACAACAGGTAGAATGTTCATTGACCTGATTCTTCTCTTTCTGTTCCTAAAGAGGGTTGCTGCATATAGATTTTAAGGCATGTTTCCTTATGAATGTTTTCATATGAATCTTTTCTCTCTTCTATTTTGTTTCATTGATTTTGTGGAAAGGCCTCTCTGATCTTTCTTTATTAGCTAGTGATTCAAAAGATCAGCCAGTTGCTTAGATTGTCTAGATAATACTCGGATTGTTTAGATAATTAAGGTCTGAATTGATGTGAGTTGACTTTTCATTAAAACACTGTTCAATTCAGAATTTTACTCAAGATATAATGAGTTTAGACAATAGGATGTACTTTAGGTTCAGTACTTCTTCTTAGATATCAATCATGTTAGGTTCATCAAAGTTGAAGGTGGAGGAAACATGTTTATTAGCAATAGTTATATGTCAGGCACAATGCCAGCTTCCAAAATAATGAGAACGGCTTACACTTTTACTGCAATGACAATGTATGAGGTCATGTTCTAAGCACACTGACATCACTACAACTCAGACAAAATGTTACTGCTTTCCCATTTTGCATATGAGAAAACAAGAGGGGTTAAAACATTTTTACCAAGTAGGACAACTATAGCTGACAAGCTAATAATTAAATCCAGCATCCCGACTCCAGAATTTATGTTCTTCATCACTATACTGTGTGTGTGTGTGTGTGTATTTTGTAGTTTTATGAGTCAATGTTTGAAGAAGGATATTTATTTTTGTCCCTGTTAGATTATTAAGAGGGACAAAAGTCAGTCTATTACTGACTTTATAAGTTATCTTTTAGTGAGCAAAAAATTACACCAAATCTTACTGGTTTTAACAAAAAGAATATTTATCATCTGATAGTTTCTATGGATTAGGAATTGTAGCACACCCAGCTGGGTTTTCTGCATTGAAGTTTCTTATACGTTGCAATTTAAGTGGTGGCCATGGCTTTAGTCTTATCCGAAGGCATAACCGGGGTAGGAGACCCTTTAAAGCTCACCAGTGCAGCTGTAGGAAGGCTTCAGCTCTTCATAAGCTGTTGTACAGAGGAGCTCAGTTCTTTGCTGGCTGTGGGCCAGGGGCCTTCTTCTGGTACTTGCCCTATGGATCTCCCTAGAGGCAGCTTACACATGGCAGCTGGCATGAAGTATGATTTATTATAATGCATTTGAAATGTTTTTTGTACAATAGACTCATTTTACTAAAATAGGTTCTTAATTCTGTGAATTTTATTCCTTTGAACACAGTCTGTATATTTTAAAGGCTCATGTAATCAACTCTTTGGTAAACATGTTAGAAGGTGGTATATCGTGGCAACGTATATGTTAAAAAGTCTTTTATTAGTCTTTGACTAGTGTAGACCACACAACAGATGTAAAAGCAACCCTTGCTGACTAATTGAATTTCCCAGTCCAATCCAACTGAGCTCAGTGTATTTTAGAGAATAAGTGAATTGTAATTTCTAAGAATAAAGACTATTTGTTTACATATGTATATAGGTTGAATACATAGTGCAATATTTAAAGTTCTGACTCTCTTAAATATTCTGGCATTGTTAGTATGCTTTAACCTTGCTCATTACGTACTCTGGATAATATTTTTAAAAAATTATATGTGTGCATGTGTTAGTACAGCATAACCATGTATGAAAATCATTTTTTAACATAGGTGGCAAATATTATATGATGTATAAATGAAGAGTATTCTCATGAAAATGTTTATATTCTTTCATTTAATTAGAATTTCTATGGGTAAAGATGTATGCTCCGTTCTGTGGGGGATTTAGACATGAATCTGATTTCTGCCTTCATGAAGAGTTGGGGAGTTGGGGCAGTAAAATCAGATAAACACAGTGTAATGTACTGTTATTTCTCTGGGCTTCAGTTTTCTCACCTATACAATAAAAATAATATTAATACTTATTCAGAGGTTTAGAAAAGACTTAAACTACATAATATATGTGCTGGTTTTTTGAGTATATTAGAAGTTTAATAAATGCAACTGTTTACTTCCATATCCATGGTCACCATATCCATGGTAATGATGTTTATTTTCCATATCCATGGCTACTTGTCACCACAAGATTTAGTGTAAAAGGAGACAATGACTCAGATTATTAAAGCACAAGGTAGAGAGTGATAAATGCCATGTATGGAAAAGATGAATTCTATGGGGGTTAAAACATGAAAATATCTTTTGTGGAATTATTTCAAGATAATTATTTTAAGAGAATAGACTGAGCATATTGTATAGATTCTGGCTCCCCCAGT